GCCTCCGCCGCTTCAAGGATGTCGCCGATATGCTGCAGGATTACATTCCCAGCCTCAAAATCGCCGGCGACGACTCCTCCGGCTCCGACGGGTCCTCGCAGCAGCTGTCCAAGGACCGGGTCAAGCTCCTCGGATCGTCCGAGTCGCCGGGTTGTGACTCGTCGTTTAAATGCTTCTCTGTTTCTGAGTTGAAGAAGAAGGTGATGGCAGGGCTGTGTAAAAACTGCGACAAAGAAGGGCAATGGAGGTAATTTTGCAATGCTCTGTTTCATTAATTTTTCCGGGTTCGGCTTTTTATGTGGTGTTTATTATTGTTATTTATTGTTATGATTCAGTCGACATGTTTCTGTTGGTTTTTGAGTAAATGCTCAGCAAACTGAAAACCCCATTATTCAATTTTTATTTTTTATTTTTTATTTTTTTTCTTGGACCTCCTTTTTATGCAAGGTTTCTCTGTGGATTTTACCAGTCTGCAACTTTCTCATTTTGATGGATTTTTCTTCAACTTTATTGTGCTAATGGTGAAAATCTGAAACTTGGGTTGATGGGTTGGAAAAAGAACTGTGAATTTTTTTTTTTACCTTTTTATTTTTTGACAGCTTGATAAGGACTGGATAGAAAAGATTAGGGAATAATCAATGAAAATTTTACCCTGTTTGGATTGGATTCTAATGGTGTACAGTACAGTTTGTTTTGAATCTTAGATTTATCTTTTTACTGTGATCTTTTTTGTTAAAGCTTTGTTTTTTTTTTGTTTTGTTTGTTAGATATTTGATCTTGGGTCAAGCTTGTTGTCATTTGGGGCTGATGGAAGATGCCATGGTTCTTCTTCAAACCGGCAAGCGCCTCGCTACGGCGGCATTTCGCCGGGAAAGTATATGCCGGTCTGAAGATAGCTTCTCGCTCTCTGATTTCCCTTTCTCCAGCGAGATATCGCCCACGAATCCTCCGAACACACCCCCTCGTGCTCTCTCCGATTCCGAAACGATCACCAATCTCCTCAGCCACATTAAGCTTCTAATTCGTCGGAGGACTGCTGCTCTTGCTGCCCTTGATGCTGGCCTCTACGCTGAGGCTATCCGCCATTTCACCAAGATTGTTGATGGGCGCCGAGGCGCCCCTCAAGGCTTCCTTGCTGAATGTTATATGTACCGAGCCTCTGCTTACCGATCAGCTGGTCGAATTGCAGAGTCAATTGCTGATTGCAACCGAACTCTGTCACTCGATCCCAGCTGCATTCAAGCTTTGGAGACCCGAGCTGCACTGTTTGAATCAATTCGATGCTTACCGGATTGTTTGCACGACCTTGAGCATTTGAAGCTTCTGTATAACACCATATTAAGGGACAGAAAGCTACCTGGTCCGGCTTGGAAGCGACAGAACATGCGATACCGAGAGATTCCCGGGAAGCTCTGTGCATTGACTGTCAAAATTCAAGAACTGAAGCAGAGAGTTGCTTCAGGAGAGACTGGGAATGTGGATTACTATTCGTTAATTGGGCTGCGACGTGGGTGTTCAAGGTCCGAATTGGAGAGAGCGCATCTGCTGCTATGTCTACGACACAAACCCGATAAAGCTACAAACTTCATTGAGCGGTGCGAGCTTGCAGACGACCGTGATCTCGATTCCGTTCGAGACAAGGCGAAAATGTCAGCATTATTGCTGTATAGAATGCTGCAGAAGGGGTATTCGAGCATAATGTCGACGATCTTGGACGAGGAAGCGGCCGAGAAACAGAGGAAGAAAGCTGCAGCTGCATTACAAGCAGCACAAGCTGCTGCAATTCAAGTCCAACAACAACAACATCAAGCTGCCCAGGAATGCCTACTGGAAATGGAACTCATCAAAGCTGCAAACACAGCATCATCCAAAACCGCGAAAACCGAACAAATCCCAGCATCAGACAACAAGTCATCGAGCGACAAATCCACATTCCAAGGAGTATTCTGCCGTGACCTCGCCGTCGTCGGTAATTTGCTATCGCAGGTCGGGTTGAACCGACCCATCCCAGTGAAGTACGAGGCATTGAGCTGCTGATCAAACTACTACTACTACTAGTTCTACAACAAAACACAGTTGGAATCAAATCAAAATCTGTAAAACCATGGGATTTGGGGAAAAAAGTCTTGAAGTTTTTGGTTGATACGGCAGGGAAATCTCTCTTATTTTTGTACAAAACAAAAGAATGTCTAAAAAGAAAAAAACTCGAAATTACTGCCGGAAAAAATTTTGTCACTGTTGTTCTTCCCTTGTTCTTCATTTCCATTTCTCTCTAGAATTCGATGTACAGAGAAGCATCAGCTCATCAGCTTCAATATTTCATTATCTCTCTCTTCTCTCTCTCTCCTTTTGCTTTGAATTTCTGAGTGAAGTCTCTTTCAATCTCTTCTCTGGTAAATGAAGTTTGGTGGCATTAAATTTCTTGCATTGAAAATTGGCAATGCTAATCTTCGAACTGGCCATGGCAGTGGCTGCTTCAGAGAAACAGAGAGAGCCCATGTTTGGATTCTCTAATTTGTCTTATTATCGTTTTCTTTTTCTTTTTCTTTTTCATTTACAAGTTTTAGATTAATGTTAAACAGATTTCTAAACACTCAACTCATTAAGTACAACTTTTTACTAATAGGTTTAAAAATTCAACTTTTTAAAAATATAAATACTAAAATGAACAAAAATTATTTTTCTGTTGTTTGATTGGCTTGTAGTTGTATCATGCTGAGAAGTGAGAGAGGTCCACCAAATTTCAAATATTTGCAGAATCCACCATAGTGGGTGGGTGGGAAATGGGAAATCAATAAATTTTGTGGAGAAAAATGGAATAAATTGAAAAAGAAAAATGAAGTCATCCGTAGAGTAAAAGGGAGTGGCAGAAGAAAGCTGCTGAGTTTATGAGTTTGGTAGGGTCTAATCCAAACACTCAATACGAGAAAACCAATGGATTTTTTTCTCTTTTTTTTATAAATTATAAATAATAAAATTAATTATTATTGTTTGGAAAGGAATTGTCATTTCATCAGCCTTTCACTTTGGCCCTTTGTCTGTCTCTGAATCATTCACTGTTTTCTTCTTCTTTTTCTTTTGATTTTTCAGGATAATTTGTGCATATTTCGACTAATTTTATCGGATAATCGCTAGACTCTATTATATTTGGTTACCGAAAAAATACATAGACACTTAGTTCTTAGGTAGGTGGTTGTTGTGCAGTTTATTTTTTTCTACTTCATGCGCTCTCCTTCACCTTCTACATGCAATTTTATTCTCTCTCTAATTATTCACCCTCTTTAATTTCTCACAATAACATGTGATTTATTTCTTTTTATAACCATGAGGTGGAGTTGTAAAGTCGGGATTATATTTGATATGCGAATTTACTTATATTGAATTATGGGTTTTTTCATGGTTACTTATACTCGACTCTCAAGCTAGATATTTTACGTATCATAAACTTTAAAAATCAAATTTAGATTATATGGTCAATTCAAACACAGTTTAGTGGATAAAGTACATATTATCATCTTAAAATTAAGGGTTTTATCCCCACTCCTATAATTGTTGAACTAAATATAACAGATCTGAGAGAAAAGTTTTTAATTTATAAGAGGCACACTAATGTCTGACCAAATTGGTCCATCAGTAATTCTAGCTATTTTAATTAAAATTTCCTTTACTCTAATGTACGTGCGGTGAGCACAAACACTTCATACTCAATGACTTTACGTTGGAGCTTCTAGTTCGAGTAACCATGCACCAAAAATACCCTAAAATAGAGTTAGAGAAAGAGGGTAGAAAGGGTTTGCACATATTTTTTAACCCATTAAAGGTAAAAGGGGAGGGCTTTGGTTAAAAAAATCCAATTACATTTAGAGAGGGTTGTTGTTGGGCAATCAATTACTTTTCACCTTTTTAACCTCAAAGTGTTGAGTAATTTCAATGATTTAGGGAGTGGCCTATGAAAAAGGGTAATTGTGTAAGAGCATCATTATATGGAATTGATTCTTGTTTTTGTCACTTTAACACAAGCATTGGATCAATTGATTGCCTTCCCCCAAGGACATCTTTTCTTTTTCTTCACTTTTTTTTTTCTTTTTAATTTTAATATTTTGTTCTTCTTGAGATTCTTTCTCAAACCCAGAAGTTGTTTTTAATGCAACATTTATTGCTAATGTTCTTCCTCTCCCCCTTTTCTAAAAGCTCTCTGACCCAACCAAAAAAGATCCTACTGATATAATGAGTTTTAGCATCTTCTTTTTAATGTAAAACTACCCCTCTCACGTTTTGGACTCGAATATTAATTTGGTTTACCAAACTCAGGTCTGTAAATTATTAATATCCAATGGGAGAAATTTTTCTTTTTATCAAAGAAATATTGTATTTAAAAAGAAATAGGCATTACAAAAGTGGTGACCACTGATTACGCTTGTTTACATGCGTAAAAAGAAGGTTTTAGATGCTGTTTTTACTATGTTTCAGCTTTGTTTCGGATTTTCCTCGGTCGTTTGAGTTCCATTTCATGCAAAATTCATATATTATGGTTTGTGGTTGGCTTATATTGTATTTATGACATTTTAGGACCATTTGGGAGTGCAAATTAATCAAAAGAAGCAAAAAGTCGGAAATACCTACATGGGAGGCGCCAGGCGCCTGGGAAGCCTGCAGAAAAAC